GGAAGAAGCGGCGCCAGCCGCCTCAGCAGCAGCAGCAGCAGCAGCAGCAGCAGCAGCCGCCTGCAAAGGGCGCGCCGGGCGGCGGCGGCCGCGCGGCCGGCGCCAGCGGCGGAGGCGGCGGCGAGGCGGGCGGCGGCCCTCTGCGCGAGGACACCCTGCTGCGCGTGGACCTGCTGCTGCCCGCCACCACCCAGGGCTGGCTGCTGGAACGCCTGGGCCTGCAGCAGACGGGCGCCGCCAAGCAGGGCAAGGCGGCCGCCAAGCGGGCGGCCAACGCGGCCGCGGCCGTGAACGACCTCCTGCACCAGCTGATGCGGGACGGCGCGGCGCTGGGAGCCCTGGAGTCGATCGCGGGGGTGAAGCATCGCATCCGCGAGGGCGGCAAGGGCGGGGGTGGCAGGCGGGGAGGCGGCGGCGGCAAGGAAGGGTCGAGCGGCGTCAAAGGGGCCGGCAGCAAGGCCCGCGGCAACGGCTGCGGGACGGCGGCGGCGGCGGCGACCGCTGCTGCCAAGGCTGGGGCAACACCTGCGGCTGCCCACACGCAAGCGCCCATTGCGAGCGAGACGCCAGCAGCTGGGACGTCGACGCCCCATCCTGGTCCTTGAATTGTCGGGGGAGCCTGGGCCCCTTTGTACATGTGCTGCATCTTGGTTTTACGTCTGCCCTGGTGGCATCACGGCGCCACGTGGCCAGTGTCTCGGCCAATGGGTGCGCATACCCGTCAAGAACTCGGCACTGCAAAGCCCTGTTGTGGTCTGTGGTCCGCCAACTCTTCCTTTTGGCGCACGCCTTTTGTGAGCACTGCGCCAACTCTGCTGCTGCGTGGCGATTCTCCTGGTTGCAGGTTGTGCGCATGCAGCAGGGCGACGCGTTTTCGCCTTGGATTCCTCCTGCAAAGCCCTGCCCCGTTGATTGTGGCTGTGCTGCAGTACTCTCACATCCGACAAGCTGCCCGTGCAAGCCACGGGTCTATTCTGACTTAAACACGTGTAAATACAGCCATGTATCAGACATCGCAACTTCATCAACAGAAGGCATAAGGGAGGAAGAGATGTTGGGGAAACTCACAGGGCATCACAAACAAGAGACGACACGCCAGACCTTGCCCTACCCGAGGCCCTGGGTCAGCGGCCGCCCCGTGCCGCCTTTGCGGGGAACATCTGCGCAAACGGCCCCGCCCCTGCCTGGTACGGCAGCCAGATCAGCAGCCACCGCAGCAGCATCACCGTGGACAGCCCGGCCCAAACGCCCGCGAGCGCGGCGGCGGGCGGTGGGGCGCCGGTGCCGGCGAGCAGCAGCATTACGGCCACCGCGGGAATGCAGGAGGCCGCCATCTGGTAGCACGCGTACTCAAACCTGTTGCATTGGGAAAAGGGGCGTGACAGAAGGGGGAAAAGGGGGGCTTGTGTGTGCGCAAGGGATGTGGAGGCCCAACGGGGGGGGAGGCCAGACCACAAGTCCTCGTCATGTGCTGCACTGTGTAGCAGCACTGTGCGCCGACCGCTGTGACAGCAGCACTCAGAAGGGGGTGGCAGGGCTGCGCGCGTGTGCGCGCGCCCTGCCCTCTGGCGCTGCAGCGAGCGCAGGGCTGCGCAGCGTACCGCCCCGCACACAGCGTCAGCGCCTAGTCGGCCCCTCGCCTCCGAAATCCCCGACCCCCCACAACACACACCCCCCCAAACACACACATACACGCACACGCACACACATACATAGGTGTGCGCTACTCACATACGCATACCGACAAACACCCACAAACTCAAACACACACCCATACACGGCCAGCGCGCCCCTCCTCACCCTCCGGCACCGAACAAGACGCCATCCCACACAAACGCCATCGAGTTGATCGGCTGAGTCAGCACCACAAACAGCCACACCCCGCCAGACACCAGCGCCAGCGTGCCAGCGTCCCGCGTGAACAGCGCCGGCACCGCCCCCGACCCCGCCGCCATCGCGCCCGCCATGGCGCAGCCGAGCGCGGCGGCCAGCCGCACGGTGCGGCGCACGACGCGGCGCGCGGCGGGGGCGTCGCCGGCGGCGAGGCTGCGGGCGACCAGGGACTGCGCCGCGACGGCCAGCGCGTCAGACAGCAGGCTGGAGGCCAGCCACAGCTGGAGACACACCTGCCACCACGGGCGATGTGGGGGGGGGGCCAAAGGCAGGAAGGGAAGGGGAGGAGGCGCGATGATGCGAGAGAGCCGCTGGTTGACATTATTGGGGTGGGTGGGGCGTGGTGCGTGGGTGCTGCAACGGCCAAAGGGCAGCGGGATGTGGGCAGCATTCTGGAGGCCGAGGGGCGGTTTGATGGGTCCAGCATTGTGCGGCGACGGGGAGGGGGGTCTGCGCTCCCCCCAAACATGTGCATGGGCGCGTGCATGAAGACGCACCTGGTGGGCTGCCGCGGCCTGCGCGCCCGCGCGCGCGGTGAGCGCTGTTGCTGCTGCGTACGTTCCCGCGATGGCTACGGTGCGCAGCATGAGGA